GGCCAAAAAAATTGGAGAATTGGGGTTTTTCCAAAACATCTCCCTTTTGGTAGATAGCCCCTTGGTTGTTTTTTGGGTTTTGTTTTTTTTCCAAAATTGAAGTGATTTGAGTTTTATGGATTTTCAAACATTGAGGGTGATTTCTGAGTGCTGTTTCCTTCTTTTTCCCATGTTTTTTCGGGGTTTTTTTAATGATTCAAACCTTTGTGAAGGGGTAGGGTCAGGGGTTTTTTGGGTCTCTAGTTTTTGGGGGTTTGGGTAGGGGGTTTCCAATTGCTTTCTTTTTTGGTTTTTGCATTCTTAAAAAAAACCATTTAAACACTGTTGTTTTTCTTTCTTTGGTTTTTGGGTTAGGATTTTTTGTTTTATTTGGGAAAACCCGAGAGGTCCAAAAATACTGTTTTTAAAGGGGTTTTTTACTGCCAAGTTTACAACCCTTAAATATTAGTGGAAAAGTTTTGTCCAAAAAGGGAAGGGGTTTTAAAAGGATTTAATTTTTGTTTCCCAATTGTTTTTTGGTAGGTTTTTTAAAAACTAATTTTTTTCCAAACGTAGCATTTATTAATAATTTTAGTTTCCTTTTGGGGTTTTTTTGCCCTTTTATTTAGTATTGCTCTGTTCAAAGGGGACTGTGATTTTTTCGGGGGTCCCGAAAAAGGGGTGTCCCGGGGGGGGACTGTGGGAAAGCTCTGAGAGACTCGGGTTGAGGTCAATTTATAAATTAAACACATTTCTTTTGCCAAAAAAGATGAAACCCATAAGGGGGTACCTTTCCATAGGAAATTCCCCCCGGGGAAGGGGGGCCTAAAACCCTTGAAAATATGTACATAAACCCAAACGTCCGACAAAAACTGCGGAGGGATTTAAAGGGCCCGTTTTTTTTTTGGGGTTTTTGTCATAAGGGGTTTTGCCAGGGGGGGAAAAATTTGGGGGGGGGGGAATCTTTTAAACCCCCAGGGGGTGGGTTTGGCCCCCTTTTGCTGGGGGGGGTTGGGCCAGGTTCTTGTCCAATTCGGGGGATTTTGGTCCCCAAAAACTAGGGGGAAAAATTTCCCCGGGGCCCGGAAGTGATTGATTTTTCCCCCTCCAGGGGTGGAGGAAAACTTCTTCATTAAAGTATGGGGGGTTTTATTGGGGGGGGAAAAGGGGAGCACACAGGGGGGGGAAAATTTTTTTCTGTGAGGGTAATTTTCCTTTTTAAATTTTTAGCCAAGGTAAAATGGGTTTCCCGTTTTGGGGGTTAATTTAAGAGAGGGGGCAGGGGCGGGGGGGGGAATGCTCGCTGGTCTGGGCGGGGGGGGTCTTTTGATTGTTTTTCTCCAGTGGAGGTGTTGGGTCTGGGTTTTTTTGGGCGAATTTCCCTTTTGGGTCCGGGGAAAGGGGGGGCAACGTGCCTTGGATAGGGTTGGGGGGTGGGCGTTTAAAGGTGTTCAAGTACAGGGTGGAGGGGGGGGCAAAGGGAAACATTTGGTTTTTTTAGGGACGTCACAGAAATACTTTTTTTTCCTAATGTATGGAAAAAGGGGGGAGTTTTCCTTCCGGGGGGGGGGTAGCAGGGTTTTTGATACCCTTGGTTTCGTTGGGGGGGGAAAATAGAAGAATTTTTTTCAATTTACTCCCTTGAGTGCTGGGGCCCCCCTTTCCTGCTTTTGTTTTTCAGGTTTTTGTGCCTGTGGGTATTATGTGGGGGGGTGATCCTAGTCGGGTCCTCAGGGCCGAAGGTCTAGGGCGCGCTGGGTGTTTTGGGCCCCCAGATTTTTGACCCCTGTGTGTTTGGGGGGGAAAAAATGTATTTTCTTGTATGTTTTCCCGTTTGAGGCCCCTAAAAAGTACAATCGTGGGGTTGGGGTTTTCCTCAGGGGGGTGTGGGGGGGGTTGTCAGGAGGGCATCAGGGGGGGGTGAAGGGGGGGGGGGGTCAATTTGGGGGGGGTCCCCCGGGTTGGGGGTTTTCTTTTATTGTCCGGCTTTGGGGTTTTCGAGGGGTAAAGGGGCAGGGTTTAGGGTTTTAATGTTCTTGGGGGGGTGGGGGTGTCCCGGGCTTTTTGGGCCGGTTTTGAGGGGGGCGTTCTTTTGGGTTATCTGCGGGGGTGGCCAGCTCTCTAACGGGTTGTTCTCTGTCACCCGTCATCGTTCTCACCTTCTCCTCCAGCACTCTGATCCTCTCCTCTAGTGCTCTGTTCTTCTCCTGCTCCTGCTCTTTCTCCTGTTGATGTTGTCTCACCACAGTCCAGAGTGCAGACATGTCTCTCTCTACCTGCAGCTCTCCAGGTCTAGTTAAGGGGGTGTTGTTGTGCTGGACTGTTGTCTGGGTCTGTGCTGACTGGAGTGTAATCACCTGCTGTTCCAGCTCCACCTGCCTTACCTCCAGCTAGGTGAATGTATCCTTAATTTCAATGAGGGAGTAGTACTCTCGCTGGGAGGTTGACTTTCCGCTTAGGGTTGCTCGTCTGTGGGGTTATTTAATGAAGAGGTCTGGTCTGACCCGCTTGGGGTAGGGGTATCTTTCTCAAGGGAGAGCTTCTCCTGCTGAGCTATTTCTTTGATTAGGTGAAAGTCCAGCTGGAACTGTTTGGGGTTGCCCTGTACCAATACTGTTCCAGATTTATAGAGATTTATATTAGCTGACTCAGAGTCCTCGTTGTCTAGTATCCTGAGTTTCCACCCATCTTAACAGAGGGGTAGTGTGCTAATATAGCACTGTGCCATGCCAGGGGATGGTCTGTGTGGAAGATAAGGTTGCTTAGGTTCCCATTTTTATAAAGTCAGCAAAACGTGTCTCCTGATTTCCCATAAGGAGCTTCATTTTGTACTCTTTTCGTGTCTTATCATTCTTTACATACAGAGGGTACTGTAATTTTAATGACCTCTGAAACAGCGGGAGGGTGCTTCTAAGGCCTCTCCATTTTGGTTGGGGTAGACTGTACGACTCTCCTGCCATTGTTGGGCTCAAGGGCTTTGACACCTCTCACTTCCACACGTCAGTGCTAATTGGAAGTTGTATCTCTTTGTACTAGCAAGCTTGGTAGCCTTAGCATTCAGTCCTTATAAAGTAAAATATATCATTGTAAGTATTTTTTCTTCTTGGTTTTGAAAGTAAAAAAATAGCTTCAGACTAACATTACTCACCAGTTCCAGGTTGGATGGTGTTTTCAGTTTCTGTTTGTTTGCCCATTTGCTGTATAGGGATCAGTTTGGGAATAGTCATCCTTCGGTAGTAGAAAGCTTTCCAGGTATTCCGTCCAAAATAAGGTTGTAGGTTTGGAGCTTTGGTTTGGAGTGAAGGTTATGTTGTGGAGGGTAGCATCCTGTATATGTCCCTGTGGAGGGTAGCATCCTGTATATTTCCCTGTGAGGGTAGCATCCTGTATATTCCCTGTGGGAGGGTAGCATCCTGTATATGTCCCTGTGGAGGGTAGCATCCTGTATATGTCCCTGTGGAGGGTAGCATCCTGTATATTCCCTGTGGAGGTAGCATCCTGTATATGTCCCTGCGGAGGGTAGCATCCTGTATATGTCCCCTGCGGAGGGTAGCATCATGTATATGTCCCTGTGGAGGGTTAGCATCCTGTATAATTGTCCGCTTGGGAGGGTAGCATCCTGTAATATGTCCCTGCGGAGGGGTAGCATCCTGTATATGTCCCTGCGGAGGTAGCATCCTGTATATGTCCCTGTGGAGGGTAGCATCCTGTATATGTCCCTGTGGAGGGTATCATCCTGTATATGTCCCTGTGGAGGGTAGCATCTGTATATGTCCCGGGGGTATCATCCTGTATATGTCCCTTGGGGGAGGGTACCCTCCTGTATATGTCCCTGTGGAGGTACAATCCTGTATATGTCCCTGTGGAGGGTAGCATCCTGTATATGTCCCTTGGGGGGTTTACATCCTGTAAGTCCCTGTGGAGGGTACATCCTGTATATGCCCCTGTGAGGGTAGCATTCTGTAATTTTTGGTCCTGTGGAGGTAGCATCCTGTATATGTCCCCTTGTCAAAAAAAACAAGTTTTATCTAACTCTAATCTTATTTTTTTGTAAAACATGCTGGAAAATGCAGGGCGGCCTGTCTTTGGCTCTCATCTCCTCTCTCTTCTCTGCCCCTCTCTCTCCTCTCCCTTTTCTCTCTCTCTCTCTCTCTCTCTCTCTTCTCCTCTTTTTCTCTCTCTTCTCTCAATCTCCCCTCCTCCTCTCTCTCCTCTCATCCGCTCTCTCTCTCTCTGTCTCTCTCTATCTCTCTCTCTCTGCTGATTAGAGTGGTGTTACTTTAACCATTCTGTCACCATGACAACCAGGACTCAGCCAGGGCTGATGATGTGTCTGCTCTATACTATAAATATAAATAGGTTTCTAATTGACTCGCTTCCAGCTCTGCCGCAGGTCCTTGGACTTCTCACTGATGCGCTTTGTCTGGGGGCCTGGGGGAGACAAAGCCAGTTGGTCTCAAATTGGCCCCTAGAGTTAGTGGACTAACGTTTTGGACCAATGCGCCATAGGGAATAGGGTCCCATCGCTATCTCGTCACCTCCACCATCCTCCTCTTCCACCTCTGCCTCACTCCTCCTCCCTCCCGCCACCTCCTTCTTCCTCTTCCTCCTCCACCTCTTCCTCCATCCTCTTCTTCCACCTCTTCCTCCTCCTCCTCTTCCTCCTCCTCCTCCTCCTCTTCCCCATCCTCCTCCTCCTCCTCTTCCCCTCCTCCTCTTCCACCTCTTCCCCTCCTCCTCCTCCACCTCCTCTTCCTCCACATCTTCTTCCACCTCTTCCTCCTCCTCCTCCTCCTCTTCCTCCTCCTCCTCCTCCTCTTCCCCCTCCCCATCCTCCTCCTCCTCCTCTTCCCCCTCCTCCTCTTCCCCCTCCTCCTCCTTTTCCTCCTCCTCTTCTTCCCCCTCCTCTTCCTCTTCCTCCTCCTCCTCTGCTTTAACTCTGGTGGGAAGTGAGCTGATAACCTGTATCTGTATGTGTCTACAATGAACCAGTAAAGTCATGTTGTTCTTCCCCTCTGCAGGGTTCTCTGTGTCAGTACCTGAGTCTGCAGACAGGAGACTGGGTCAGCTGCTGTCGCCTCACACACTCTGTCACACGGGGTCTGGCCTACCTGCACACCGAGCTGCTGAGAGGAGGTAGGAGTCACCTTCACACACACTCACTGTGCTCCCTCACCGTCACAACCCTTCATTCCATTCACATGTTCAGACAGCTCCAGTGAAACACTGTCTCCCATCGTCAAACCTTCAGAATGTGATAAATCACTGAGGAGGATTTTTACTGCCTTCTCGTGTGTGTGTGTGTGTGTGTGTGTGTGTGTGTGTGTGTGTGTGTGTGTGTGTGTGTGTGTGTAAAGATGAATGTGTTTTCAGGATACAGGCAGTTCCAAAAACCAATTGTTGAGAGTTGTATGGTTTGTTTAACTTTGCAGTCATTGTTTTTTGTTTGACATACATTTGAAAGTGAAATATCGGAGTCTCCACATCACCCTGTTAACATGCAATTGCCCATACATGTTTCATTGTCTGCTTACAGACATGCATCACATGTTAGGGAAATGGTTAGGTAGTTTCGACAGCTCACTATCACTTCCACACTCCGTTCCCCCAGGGGGCAGCAGCAACCTTGTCCATGTGCTGAGCCTGGTTGATAAGCACATCAGGTGTTACCAATTAGGGATTGTCAGTCAGGGTCCCAGTTTGAGAGCTGTGAGGCTGCTGGTTGGTTTGGTGACCATCAGGGCTTTCCTTTTGATTTAGAATCTTTAGTTTAGTCTAGTGGTCCTTTAGGGGCATGCCTGTTTCTAGTGGTCCTTTAGGCATGCCTGTTTCTAGTGGTCCTTTAGGGGCATGCCTGTTTCTAGTGGTCCTTTAGGGGCATGCCTGTTTCTAGTGGTCCTTTAGGGGCATGCCTGTTTCTAGTGGTCCTTTAGGGGCATGCCTGTTTCTAGTGGTCCTTTAGGGGCATGCCTGTTTCTAGTGGTCCTTTAGGCATGCCTGTTTCTAGTGGTCCTTTAGGCATGCCTGTTTCTAGTGGTCCTTTAGGGGCATGCCTGTTTCTAGTGGTCCTTTAGGGCATGCCTGTTTCTAGTGGTCCTTAGGGGCATGCCTGTTTCTAGTGGTCCTTTAGGGGCATGCCTGTTTCTAGTGGTCCTTTAGGGGCCATGCCTGTTTTCTAGTGGTCCTTTAGGGGCATGCCTGTTTCTAGTGGTCCTTTAGGGCATGCCTGTTTCTAGTGGTCCTTTAGGGCATGCCTGTTTCTAGTGGTCCTTTAGGCATGCCTGTTTCTAGTGGTCCTTTAGGGGCATGCCTGTTTTCTTCTAGTGGTCCTTTAGGCATGCCTGTTTCTGTGGTCCTTTAGGGGCATGCCTGTTTTTAGTGGTCCTTTAGGCGCATGCCATGTTTCTAGTGGTCCTTTGGCATGCCTGTTCTAGTGGTCCTTTAGGGGCATGCCTGTTTCTAGTGGTCCTTTAAGTGGGCATGCCTGTTTCTAGTGGTCCTTTAGGGGCATGCCTGTTTCTAGTGGGCCTTTTAGGGGCATGCCTGTTTTCTAGTGGTCCTTTAGGGGCATGCCTTGTTTCTAGTGGTCTTTAGGGGCATGCCTGTTTCTAGTGGTCCTTTAGGGGCATGGCCTGTGGTCTAGTGGTCCTTTAGGGGCTGCCTGTTTCTAGTGGTCCTTTAGGGGCATGCCTGTTTCTAGTGGTCCTTTAGGGGCATGCCTGTTTCTAGTGGTCCTTTAGGGGCATGCCTGTTTCTAGTGGTCCTTTAGGCATGCCTGTTTCTATTGGTCCTTTAGGCATGCCTGTTTCTAGTGGTCCTTTAGGGGCATGCCTGTTTCTAGTGGTCCTTTAGGCATGCCTGTTTCTAGTGGTCCTTTAGGCATGCCTGTTTCTAGTGGTCCTTTAGGGGCATGCCTGTTTCTAGTGGTCCTTTAGGGGCATGCCTGTTTCTAGTGGTCCTTTAGGCATGCCTGTTTCTAGTGGTCCTTTAGGGGCATGCCTGTTTCTAGTGGTCCTTTAGGCATGCCTGTTTCTAGTAGTCCTTTAGGGGCATGCCTGTTTCTAGTGGTCCTTTAGGGGCATGCCTGTTTCTAGTGGTCCTTTAGGGGCATGCCTGTTTCTAGTGGTCCTTTAGGCATGCCTGTTTCTAGTGGTCCTTTAGGCATGCCTGTTTCTAGTGGTCCTTTAGGGGCATGCCTGTTTCTAGTGGTCCTTTAGGGGCATGCCTGTTTCTAGTGGTCCTTTAGGGGCATGCCTGTTTCTAGTGGTCCTTTAGGCATGCCTGTTTCTAGTGGTCCTTTAGGCATGCCTGTTTCTAGTGGTCCTTTAGGGGCATGCCTGTTTCTAGTGGTCCTTTAGGGGCATGCCTGTTTCTAGTGGTCCTTTAGGGGCATGCCTGTTTCTAGTGGTCCTTTAGGGGCATGCCTGTTTCTAGTGGTCCTTTAGGCATGCCTGTTTCTAGTGGTCCTTTAGGGGCATGCCTGTTTCTTGTGGTCCTTTTTTAATCTATTTGTTTCGGTAACCATCTGAACATTATAATCCGCTTGGGCTCACCGACCGACAGAGCTGGCCATGGACCTAAGGTAAGGTTGCTGTCTCCCTGGACCCAAGGTAAGGTTGCCGTCTCCCTGGACCCAAGGTAAGGTTGCTGTCTCCCTGGACCCAAGGTAAGGTTGCCGTCTCCCTGGACCAAGGTAAGGTTGCTGTCTCCCTGGACTAAGGTAAGGTTGCTGTCTCCCTGGACCAAGGTAAGGTTGCTGTCTCCCTGGACCAAGGTAAGGTTGCTGTCTCCCTGGACCAAGGTAAGGTTGCTGTCTCCCTGGACCAAGGTAAGGTTGCTGTCTCCCTGGACCAAGGTAAGGTTGCCGTCTCCCTGGACCTAAGGTAAGGTTGCCGTCTCCCTGGACCAAGGTAAGGTTGCCGTCTCCCTGGACCAAGGTAAGGTTGCCGTCTCCCTGGACCAAGGTAAGGTTGCTGTCTCCCTGGACCAAGGTAAGGTTGCCGTCTCCCTGGACCTAAGGTAAGGTTGCCGTCTCCCTGGACCTAAGGTAAGGTTGCCGTCTCCCTGGACCCAAGGTAAGGTTGCTGTCTCCCTGGACCCAAGGTAAGGTTGCCGTCTCCCTGGACCCAAGGTAAGGTTGCCGTCTCCCTGGACCTAAGGTAAGGTTGCCGTCTCCCTGGACCCAAGGTAAGGTTGCTGTCTCCCTGGACCAAGGTAAGGTTGCTGTCTCCCTGGACCAAGGTAAGGTTGCCGTCTCCCTGGACCAAGGTAAGGTTGCCGTCTCCCTGGACCAAGGTAAGGTTGCCGTCTCCCTGGACCAAGGTAAGGTTGCTGTCTCCCTGGACCAAGGTAAGGTTGCCGTCTCCCTGGACCCAAGGTAAGGTTGCCGTCTCCCTGGGAACATGTGCATCCAACACGGTCCTCAAACGCTGATTTCTCACATAAATACATACATTCATTCAGGTTACAGACCATGTAACTAGGCCTAGGACCCTAGACAAAGCCAGTGCAACTGTTTCCGTAGGCTAGCTGTTGGTTTCGTAACACATGCTATTCATTAATGTATCACATGTTTACTTGTGTTATTAGTTAATGTAGCACATATTTCCTTGTGCTTCTTAAATGTTTAAATTAAGATATAAATATAATTTTAATGACCAATAAAGGTTTCTGTCTGTCAGCGTCCCCAATGGCACCCTATTCCCTACATAGTGCACTACTTTAGACCAGTTCCCTATGGGCTCTATGTAGGGATTAGGGTGCCATCTGGGACACTGACAATGGCTTCCTCTGGCCCCTTACCTCTGGCTGTACCTAGCCTGGTTGGTTGTGGTCTGGGTTGGCTGTGTGTTGTGAGCCCAGCCACGTGGAGGCAGGAGACAGGACGCCAACTCAGCTGCCAGACGGGCGGAAGCATGTCACACACACATTCCACGATCTCGTCACACACACACACACACACACACTCCTCGTCACATGCACGTATCCACACACACACACTCCTCCTTTCGGGGTGAAGCAGCTAATGTGCACATCTGGGTCAGACTGTCACACAGACGGCTGGTTCACTCACATACAGTATGAATGGTGCTCTATGGGGCGGTCTGTCTGTATACAGTATGAATGGTGCTCTATGGGGCAGTCTGTCTATACAGTATGAATGGTGCTCTATGGGGCAGTCTGTCTATACAGTATGAATGGTGCTCTCTGGGGCAGACTGTCTATACACTATGAATGGTGCTCTCTGGGGCAGACTGTCTGTATACAGTATGAATGGTGCTCTCTGGGGCAGTCTGTCTGTATACAGTATGAATGGTGCTCTCTGGGGCAGACTGTCTGTATACAGTATGAATGGTGCTCTCTGGGGCAGACTGTCTGTATACAGTATGAATGGTGCTCTCTGGGGCAGACTGTCTGTATACAGTATGAATGGTGCTCTCTGGGGCAGACTGTCTGTATACAGTATGAATGGTGCTCTCTGGGGCAGACTGTCTGTATACAGTATGAATGGTGCTCTCTGGGGCAGTCTGTCTGTATACAGTATGAATGGTGCTCTCTGGGGCAGACTGTCTGTATACAGTATGAATGGTGCTCTCTGGGGCAGTCTGTCTATACAGTATTAATGGTGCTCTCTGGGGCAGTCTGTCTATACAGTATGAATGGTGCTCTATGGGGCAGACTGTCACACAGACGGCTGGTTCACTCACATACAGTATGAATGGTGCTCTCTGGGGCAGACTGTCTGTATACAGTATGAATGGTGCTCTCTGGGGCAGACTGTCTGTATACAGTATGAATGGTGCTCTCTGGGGCAGACTGTCTGTATACAGTATGAATGGTGCTCTCTGGGGCAGTCTGTCTGTATACAGTATGAATGGTGCTCTCTGGGGCAGACTGTCTGTATACAGTATGAATGGTGCTCTCTGGGGCAGTCTGTCTATACAGTATTAATGGTGCTCTCTGGGGCAGTCTGTCTATACAGTATGAATGGTGCTCTATGGGGCAGACTGTCACACAGACGGCTGGTTCACTCACATACAGTATGAATGGTGCTCTCTGGGGCAGACTGTCTGTATACAGTATGAATGGTGCTCTATGGGGCAGACTGTCTATACAGTATGAATGGTGCTCTATGGGGTAGTCTGTCTATACAGTATGAATGGTGCTCTCTGGGTCAGTCTGTCTGTCTATACACTATGAATGGTGCTCTCTGGGGCAGTCTGTCTATACAGTATGAATGGTGCTCTATGGGGTAGTCTGTCTATACAGTATGATTGGTGCTCTCTGGGGCAGTCTGTCTATACAGTGTGAATGGTGCTCTATGGGGTAGTCTGTCTATACAGTGTGAATGGTGCTCTATGGGGTAGTCTGTCTATACAGTATGAATGGTGCTCTATGGGGCAGTCTGTCTATACAGTGTGAATGGTGCTCTATGGGGCAGTCTGTCTATACAGTGTGAATGGTGCTCTATGGGGCAGTCTGTCTATACAGTGTGAATGGTGCTCTCTGGGGTAGTCTGTCTATACAGTGTGAATGGTGCTCTATGGGGCAGTCTGTCTATACAGTATGAATGGTGCTCTCTGGGGCAGTCTGTCTATACAGTTTGAATGGTGCTCTATGGGGTAGTCTGTCTATACAGTGTGAATGGTGCTCTATGGGGTAGTCTGTCTATACAGTATGAATGGTGCTCTCTGGGGCAGTCTGTCTATACAGTATGAATGGTGCTCTCTGGGGCAGACTGTCTATACAGTGTGAATGGTGCTCTATGGGGCAGTCTGTCTATACAGTATGAATGGTGCTCTCTGGGGTAGTCTGTCTATACAGTGTGAATGGTGCTTTATGGGGCAGTCTGTCTATACAGTATGAATGGTGCTCTATGGGGTAGTCTGTCTATACAGTGTGAATGGTGCTCTCTGGGGCAGTCTGTCTATACAGTATGAATGGTGCTCTATGGTGTAGTCTGTCTATACAGTATGAATGGTGCTCTATGGTGTAGTCTGTCTATACGGTATGAATGGTGCTCTATGGGGCAGTGTCTGTCAATACAGTATGAATGGTGCTCTATGGGGCAGTCTCTATGTCTATACAGTATGAATGGTGCTCAATGGGGCAGTCTGTGTAGTGTGTGAATGGTGCTCTATGGGGCAGCATGAGCTGAGATTAGGAGCACACTCTTAAAGGGGCTCCATGCAAGATCTCACCTTGTGGAGTTACAATGATCATGAGAACGGTGAGGAATCAGCCCAGAACTACACGGGAGGATCTTATCAATGATCTCAAGGCAGCTGGGACCATAGTCACCAAGAAAACAATTGGTAACACACTACGCCTTGAAGGACTGAAATCCTGCAGCACCCGCAAGGTCCCCCTGCTCAAGAAAGCACAAATACAGGCCTGTCTGAAGTTTGCCAATGAACATCTGAATGATTCAGAGGAGAACTGGGTGAAAGTGTTGTGGTCAGATGAGACCAAAATCGAGCTCTTTGGCATCAACTCAACTCGCCGTGTTTGGAGGAGGAGGAATGCTGCCTATGACCCCAAGAACACCATCCCCACCGTCAAACATGGAGGTGGAAACATTATGCTTTGGGGGTGTTTTTCTGCTAAGGGGATAGGACAACTTCACTGCATCAAAGGGACGATGGACGGGGCCATGTACCGTCAAATCTTGGGTGAGAACCTCCTTCCCTCAGCCAGGGCATTGGGTCGTGGATGGGTATTCCAGCATGACAATGACCCAAAACACACGGCCAAGGCAACAAAGGATGGCTCAAGAAGAAGCACATTAAGGTCCTGGAGTGGCCTAGCCAGTCTCCAGACCTTAATCCCATAGAAAATCTGTGGAGGGAGCTGAAGGTTCGAGTTGCCAAACGTCAGCCTCGAAACCTTAATGACTTGGAGAAGATCTGCAAAGAGGAGTGGGACAAAAATCCCTCCTGAGATGTGTGCAAACCTGGTGGCCAACTACAAGAAACGTCTGACCCCTGTGATTGCCAACAAGGGTTTTGCCACCAAGTACTAAATCATGTTTTGCAGAGTGGTCAAATACTTATTTCCCTCATTAAAATGCAAATCAATTTATAACATTTTTGACATGCGTTTTTCTGGATGTTTTTGTTGTTATTCTGTCTCTCACTGTTCAAATAAACCTTCCATTAAAATTATAGACTGATAATTTCTTTGTCAGTGGGCAAACGTACAAAATCAGCAGGGGATCAAATACTTTTTCCCCTCACTGTACACATGCGCCAATTTAATTCCACTAAATTATGCAAATATATTTCCATCAACTGGTATTTCCATCAATGAATAGGCTAAAAAGCATTATTTCCCAATTTGATATTTTTTATTCTCCTGGATAATTGGCCGGTGCCAATTTTATTTATGGGCTTTTCTATTACTTAATGGCCAAAAGCCAGCTGTTACCGGCTAACGGAAACCCTAGTTCAACCATAATACTAACTGTTATTCAGCAATGAGCTTTAAGCGATCATGGTGACATGCAGAGACTAATGGGCCTTTCTTTTCTCTCTGTCTCTCTCTGTCTCCTCTGTCTCTCTCACTCTCTCTCTCTGTCTCTCTCTTTGTCTCTCTTTGTCTCTCTCTCTCTCTCTCTCTCTCTCTCTCTCTCTCTCTCTCTCCTCTCTCTCTCTCTCTCTCTCTCTCTTCTCTCTCTCTCTCTTTGTCTCTCTCTCTCTCTCTCTCTCTCTCTCTCTCTCTCTGTCTCTCTTTTGTCTCTGTCTCTTTGTCTCGCTCTCTCTCTCTCTCTCTCTTTGTCTCTCTCTCTCTCTCTCTCTCTCTCTTTGTCTCGCTCTCTCTCTCTCTCTCTCTCTCTGTCTCGGTCTCTCTCTCTGTCTCTCTCTGTCTCTCTCTCCTCTTTGCCTATTTGTCTCTCTCTCACTGTCTCCTCTGTCTCTCTCTCTCTCTGTGTCTCTCTCTCGGTCTCTCTCTCTCTCTGTCTCTCTCTCTCGTGTCTTTCTCTCTCTCTGTCTCTCTCTCTCGTGTCTTTCTCTCTCTCTCTGTCTGTCTCGCTCTCTCTGTCTCTCTCTCGGTCTCTCTCTCTCTCTCTGTTTCTCTCGTGTCTGTCGCTCTCTCGCTCTCTCGCTCTCTCTCTCTCTCTCTCGCTCTCTCTCTCGGTCTCTCTCTCGCTCTCTCTCCTCTTTGTCTCTCACTCTCTTTGTCTCTCTCTCTCCTCTCTGTCTCGCTCACTCTATCTCTCTCTCTCCCTCCCTCCCATCCTCTCTCCCTCTCTTCCAGACATCTACAAGCCAGCCATATCTCACAGAGACCTGAACAGCAGGAACGTTCTAGTGAAGAACGATGGGACGTGTGTGATCAGTGACTTTGGTCTCTCCATGAAGCTGACAGGGAACCGCCTGGTCAGGCCTGGAGAGGAGGAGAACGCTGCCATCAGTGAGGTGAGTTGGTCCACTCCACTGACGGCCTCGGCACTGGGTCTAAACTCTAAACCGCCCTCAGTCTGCTTAGCCAACACTTGATAGCTAATAATGTGAGTACTGCCTCAGCTCTAAGATGGACAGACTTTAAACCCTATTAGGGGGTTACTACTTCTATAACTCTGGTTCTGTCTCTCTCCAGGTGGGAACAATCCGCTACATGGCCCCAGAGGTTCTGGAGGGGGCGGTGAACCTGAGGGACTGTGAGTCGGCTCTGAAGCAGGTGGACATGTACGCCCTGGGCCTCGTCTACTGGGAGACCTTCATGAGGTGTACTGACCTCTTCCCAGGTAATAACCCCTCCCTGACCTCTAACCCTGGGCCTCGTCTACTGGGAGACCTTCATGAGGTGTACTGACCTCTTCCCAGGTAATAACCCCTCCCTGACCTCTAACCCTGGGCCTCGTCTACTGGGAGACCTTCATGAGGTGTACTGACCTCTTTCCAGGTAATAACCCCTAATCCCTGACCCCTAACCCTGGGCCTTGTCTACTGGGAGACCTTCATGAGGTGTACTGACCTCTTCCCAGGTAATAACCCCTAATCCCTGACCCCTAACGAAACGTTGAACTCCAGATACTGCGGGAGCATTCAACAGTGTAACACAGTGTCTTATGATGTATCTTCCAGGAGAGGAGGTGGTGATGATATAGTGTCCTCCAGGAGAGGAGGTGGTGATGATATAGTGTCCTCCAGGTGAGGAGGTGATGATGATATATTGTCCTCCAGGAGAGGAGGTGGTGATGATATAGTGTCCTCCAGGAGAGGAGGTGGTGATGATATAGTGTCCTCCAGGAGAGGAGGTGGTGATGATATAGGGTCCTCCAGGAGAGGAGGAGGTGGTGATGATATAGTGTCCTCCAGGAGAGGAGGTGGTGATGATATAGGGTCCTCCAGGAGAGGAGGTGGTGATGATATAGTGTCCTCCAGGAGAGGAGGTGGTGATGATATAGTGTCCTCCAGGAGAGGAGGTGGTGACGATATAGTGTCCTCCAGGTGAGGAGGTGGTGATGATATAGTGTCCTCCAGGAGAGATGGTGGTGATGATATATTGTCCTCCAGGAGAGGAGGTGGTGATGATATTATGTCCTCCAGGAGGTGGTGATGATATAGTGTCCTCCAGGAGAGATGGTGGTGATGATATAGTGTCCTCCAGGAGAGATGGTGGTGATGATATAGTGTCCTCCAGGAGAGAAGGTGGTGATGATATATTGTCCTCCAGGAGAGGAGGTGGTGATGATATAGTGTCCTCCAGGAGAGGAGGTGGTGATGATATAGTGTCCTCCAGGAGAGGAGGTGGTGATGATATAGTGTCCTCCAGGAGAGGAGGTGGTGATGATATAGGGTCCTCCAGGAGAGGAGATGGTGATGATATAGTGTCCTCCAGGAGAGGAGGTGGTGATGATTTAGTGTCCTCCAGGTGAGGAGGTGGTGATGATATAGTGTCCTCCAGGAGAGGAGGTGGTGATGATATAGGGTCCTCCAGGAGAGGAGGTGGTGATGATATAGGGTCCTCCAGGAGAGGAGGTGGTGATGATATAGTGTCCTCCAGGTGAGGAGGTGGTGATGATATAGTGTCCTCCAGGAGAGGAGGTGGTGATGATATAGTGTCCTCCAGGAGAGGTGATGGTGATGATATAGTGTCCTCCAGGAGAGGAGGTGGTGATGATATAGGGTCCTCCAGGAGAGGAGGTGGTGATGATATAGGGTCCTCCAGGAGAGGAGGTGGTGATGATATAGTGTCATCCAGGAGAGGAGGTGGTGATGATATAGTGTCCTCCAGGAGAGGAGGTGGTGATGATATAGTGTCCTCCAGGAGAGGAGGTGGTGATGATATAGGGTCCTCCAGGAGAGGAGGTGGTGATGATGATGATATTGTGTCCTCCAGGAGAGGAGGTGGTGATGATATAGGGTCCTCCAGGAGAGGAGGTGGTGATGATGATGATATTGTGTCCTCCAGGAGAGATGGTACCTGACTACCAGATGGCGTTCCAGGCGGAGGCAGGGAACCACCCCTCCTTTGAGGACATGCAGGTCCTGGTCTCCAGAGAGAAAGAGAGACCCAAGTTCCCCGAGGCCTGGAAAGAGAACAGTCTGGTGAGGAGAGAATACTACTACAACTATTAGTCCACACTGAAAGTTGTTTTTTACAAATGACATTGGCACCGTGGTTTCGGTTCCCTTCCTGAAAATAACCCTTTCAGGTTGACATTTGCAAGATGCATATTCTACACGCTACATGACATTAGCATACATTCAGCTTAAAAAACAACAAAAAGTTCCATATGTGACCGACCGCCTTGATTCGGTCTTATGTAGCAACATTGGAAATTGTGTTTTTTACATTGGATAAAAGCAGAGGCACCGAGCTACAAAATGCTACATCATACACTGCATTTAAGGGAACAATGGGAAAGTAATTCTGCTGTAATCTCACTTTTGAGAAAATGGCCTTTGATTGTTTTGGTACCTACTGAAGAGCTCTTCTTTGTCTACACCCATTCAGCATCTTTCACGCCCTCTTAAGCTTTAGCCCCACCCATCTCACTTCGCTCTCGGAGTGTTCAGAGCGCACACTGGACGCTCTGGCCGATGAGTAGGGTTGATCCGAGCGTTCTGACCTCACAACGGGCAGTCAAGCACCCAAGCTAACTGGCTAACGTTGGCTCGCTCGCTAGCTACTTCCAGACACAAAATTGGGATTATGGTTCATTGTTTACCTCTGGATAGCATGTTCTCTCATTAAATTAGCATTAAATGAGAGAACACCCCACTGACCATTTTACTCACCCTAGCAGAGCTGGTTAGGCTGTTTTCATGTTATCCAGAGCGTTGGTGACTAACTAGCCAAGCAAATGGCTCTGAGATACGAATGATAACATCATACACGTAACGTTAGCTAGCGAGCCATCCAGCTAACGTTATCTAGCTAGCTAAACAATGAACAATAATCCCAACTCATGACGTTACTACCCTGTAGGAATCTGCAGGTAGCTAACCAACCAGGTTCAATGTTAGCAAGCAAATGGCTCTGAGATATGAATAATAAGATCATACACGTAACGTTAACTAGCGAGCCAGCCAGCTAACGTTAGCTAGCTAGCTAACAGTACACTTTAACTTGAAATGAAACCACGTTCTGTCAAAATTAGAAACGTGTAATATCTGAAAATGTAGCTAGCTAGACTATCTTACCCATATACATCATGCATGGATGGACGCGTCTCCCTGTCACGGATGCCATGGTTGCCCTTAGTTTGAAAATGTAATCCGGAGACAGGTTTTTTCTCCATCTCTTTAGCAGTCATACTCTAATTCCACTGATTTCAAAACTCTGTCCTCCAGAAAGTGGAGAACAACACTTATGCAGCTCCACTACATAATCATTTTTTTAAAAGCCGCGTTAGACAGGATTACCTACACATACTGACCAGCTCAAATAGATAGAAATGTGCTATATGGCAGACCAATCCGAACTCCTCTCTCGGCATGTCCAGCCCACTCATTATTTCAGCCAATCATGGCTAGTGGGAAGGTTGCTGTCTTTTTCTGTGGCTTAACCAACTAGGCTCGTAATTTAACAATTGTATTCGTATTTACAGATGGCATACAAGTTTGTTATTAAGGCACATGAAAGTTCACATGTTCCAGAAGGCATTTCTGCAAAATAACGCATTTTGATACAAAAAAATACGTTTACGTTCAGATTGCTCTCCTGTGAAGTAGTGACGTGGGACATACGCATAGTTATCTGAAACTAGTCACATATGGCTCGCACTGCCGTCTGTTGTCTGAATAGAATGTAGAATAGAATGTAGAATAGAATGTAGAATAGAATGTAGAATAGAATGCATTTCTTTTAGCTAGTGCTAAACAACTAATTGACTGACATCTGTTCAATTACTTATGAACCCAACGCGTTGTTTCTCTAGAGAGAAATCAAATCATTCACGAAAGAAATTAAGTCAAGAACTACAGTATATGGGATGCTGGGCTGAAGGGAGTTGTAGTTTTCATTAAGCCAATATTCAGCCTAGTTCAGCGCAGAAACGTGGTAATGAACTACAATGACCATAATCCATTATGCTTGTTATTTTCTGGCTCGGACAGAGACGGATACACTTTTACGCCTGCTACGTTAGATTAGATACACACGGACCGCATGAGAGAGGAATGTACACAATGACCAGAGGGACAGAGACAGTTCGTGAAAGTATGGCTGATCTACTTTGAAGAACAAGTAAAATGATTGTCAGACAGCTCTGCAGCATGCTTAGGCAGGCTAGCTAAATAGGATGACTAAAGACCAAACAGTATTGGAAGCACATAACGTCAGATGGTCTCCCTGGCTGACTGCTACTGCCTGAGCAGAGCAGAGATGATGACTTTAAGGAATGAAAAGTCATTTAAAAAAACTAAGTAATATACACAACATAGTCATTTCCTATTTTTTCTACCCAATGTGGACCTGATCAGAGACAATGGAATATTTTCAATGTTTTGGCAATTCAATGTTCAAAGTTCTTGGCTTTAGAAATTCCATTAAAAAGCACTAATCATTTTAATGTCACTATTTCATAATGTATTTAATATTTAAAAAAAGAATCCTTCATACTGCACGTAGAGACATTAGAATGGTATCCATGAGGTCATGTGACCCTGGGTAACTAGAAAAACACGCTATACAACACAACTTTATTAATCCCTGAAGGTCAATTCGTTGACGTCTGACAGGGTGCTTCAGACAGGACACACAGACAGACCGTTTAGAAAAAGACATCAGTTCAAAGTGCATGGTGCAATTTAAGAAACTAAGAGTCCATTGTAGCCACAGTTGTTATTAATGTCAGGGTTAAACTATCTCTAGAATAGTCCCTAGGTCTTCCTTAATGGCCCTGTTATCCAGGGGGATGGCCTCGGGCACAAACGAGGCCCTGCTCCTGTTGGTAGGGCAGTTGACAGCGAAGGCGGCGTCCAACGGGGAGGAGTTGGAACCGTGGGTTGAGGACATATGTGTGCTGTCCCCCAGGATGTCATGGGCCTTCCTCCTGGCCTGCTGCTCAGAGGCCTCCCCCGATGGGCTTAGAGCAGGTCTCACAGCAGTTGTTCACAATGGCTTGGAGGCGCTTCCTGTTCTTGACAGAGAGGGATGTGAACCAGCATACGAAAGGAGAAACACAGAACGCTTTGTGGACACTGAATGAGTTCAGTTTCCTGAGAAAGTAGTGGCTTTTTTGATGATGGCGTCTGTGTTTTGCTCAAACTACAGGTTGTTATCAAAGATGGTACCAAGATATTTATGCTGGTCCACTGTGTCCACCTCCTCACCATTGATGATCACAACCATTTCCTTCGTCTTGAAGACATTTAACTCTATCCCTTTAATTCTAATGATACTGCCCCCCCCCAGGCGGCCTCTGTAACCCACCACCTCACCCCCAGGGCGGAACAAAATACTGTAACCAGGCCACCAAACACACCACACAGGGTCGACGGCTAGCTGTAAAAACTACACCCCAGGGCGGAACTCGTAAACCCACCCTCCCCACCCAGGCGGCCTCTGTACAACCCCCCCACCCCCCCCCCAGCGGCGTCTGTAACCTCCCCCCACCAGGCGGCCTCCTGGCTAACCCCCCCCCCCCCCCAAGGCGGCCTCTGAACCCCCCCCCCCCCAGGCGGCCTCTGTAACCCCCCCCTCCCCCACGGGCGGACCTCATGTAACCCCCCCCCCTCCACCCACCAGGCGGCCTCTGTAACCTCTACCCCACCAGGGGCAGGGCCTACTGTAACCCCCCACCCCGCCACCCCCCCCCCCCCAGGCGGCCCTCTTGTAACCTCCCCCCCCAGGCGGCCTCTGTACCCCCAACCCCCCCCCCAGGCGGCCTCTGTAACTCCTCCCCCCCAGGCGGCCTCTGTAAACCCCCCCCCCCCCAGGCGGCCTCTGTAACCTCCTCCACCCCCCCCAGGCGGCCTCTGTAACCCACCCCCCCAGGCGGCCCCTCTGTAACCTCTCCCTACCACCCCCCCCCCAGGCGGCCTCTGTAACCCCCCCCCCCACCAGGCGGCTCTGTAACCTCCTAACCATCTCCCCCCCCCCCAGGCGGCCTCTGTAACCCCCCCCCCCCCCAGGCGGCCTCTGTAACCACCCCCCCCCCAGGCGGCCTCTGTAACCTCCTCCATCCCCCCCCCCCCAGGCGGCCTCTGTAACCCCCCCCCCCCCAGGCGGCCCCTCTGTAACCTCCTCCATCCCCCCCCCCCAGGCGGCCTCTGTAACCCCCCCCCCCCCCAGGCGGCCTCTGTAACCTCCTCCATCCCCCCCCCCCCAGGCGGCCTCTGTAACCCCCCCCCCCCCCCAGGCGGCCCTCTGTAACCCCCCCCCCCCCCAGGCGGCCTCTGTAACCTCCCCCCCCCAGGCGGCCTCTGTAACCTCCTCCATCCCCCCCCCTCCCCCCTCCCCAGGCGGTGCGTTCCCTGAAGGAGACGGTGGAGGACTGTTGGGACCAGGATGCTGAGGCCAGGCTGACCGCTCAGTGTGCAGAGGAGCGCATGGCTGAACTACTGCTGATCTGGGACCAGACCAAGTCTGTCAGCCCTACTGTTAACCCCATGACCACCACACTGCAGAACCAGAGGTGGGTAGCTATGCAGAACACTCTACTATTCACCAATAAGGCATGAGAACCCTTCTGTCTATATTCTGTCTGTCTGTTCTGGTTAAGCAATAAAGCATGAGAACCCGGGCTGTTCTTAGGCCTGAGGCGATGCCAAGGTCCGGGGGTGTTATTCACGATAATTCCCGGGTTCGAGTGCCTTAATGCTTTTATAAAACGGTTGCCAACATATAAAAAAAAGATTAACGACACGTTTTCATTAAAAACATCCACCATACAAAATATTGTGGGCAAAAGCCAGTCGGTAGTTCTGAGATTCTGAAGCTGCTAGCCAAATGGGCTAGTCCTTCATTCTATCCATTCTAATTGCAACGGTTGCTATGCGAAACAAATCATTGGCATGTTGCTATGCAGGCTAGCTCCTCCTCCTCTGCTAGCTAGCCAACTAAAGCTAACACACAATCACATCAAGCAGCTGAAAGGACAGCAAACTATGTGAACTTTAGTTTGTTTTACTTTTGTTTCTGTTGCCAGTTCTTTGGCTATATCCATTATAATGATCCTGATAAATGAATTGGCCTGGATCAGAGAAGCTGTCGGTCTTGTCACATTCATATGCACGGGACAGTGGAGATGGCCAAAAAAACTGCAACATTATTCCACAGGTTGGAGAGGCAGAGAGCAGTGGTTTAGATAAACCCCAACTGTTCCAAACCAAATTCTAGCCTAGTAGCATGAGGAAATATTGTTTAGACAAATACTCCCAAGTGGCGCAGTGGTCTAAGGCACTGCATCGCAGTGCTAGCTGTGCCACTAGAGATCCTGGTTCGAGTCCAGGCTCTGTTGCAGCCGGCCGAGACCGGGAGACCCATGGGCGGCGCACAATGTAGGGGAGGGTTTGGCCGGCAGGGATGTGGGTTCGTTTCCCACGGGGGGGCAGTATGGTAGCTTAGTGGTTAAGAGCGTTGTGCCAGTAACCGAAAGGTTGCTGGTTCTAATCCCCAAACCGACTAGGTGAAAAATCTGTCGATGTACCCTTGAGCAAGGCACTTAACCCTAATTGCTCCTGTAAGTCGCTCTGGATAAGAGCGTCTGCTAAATGACTAAAATGTAAAAATTTTGACACTTTTTCCAGGGGAGATTACGTTTATAAATTGCCTTGCTGGGCTGTGGGACAGTGAATGATCATTCAAATGGAACTGTTAACAGGCAACAGGCATTACCTGGGGATTGTGGTGATTAACTCCCTGCTATCAAAAATCTAACAAAATTGTATTCGTCACATGCTTCGTAAACAACAGGTGTAGACTAACAGTGAAATTATAACTTCAATGCAGAGAGAAAAATAATATAAAAAATAACAAAAATAAATAAATACACAATGAGTAACGATAACTTGGCGTTATACACAGGGTACCAGTACTGAGTGGATGTGCAGGGGTACCAGGTAATAACTTGGCGTTATACACAGGGTACCAGTACTGAGTGGATGTGCAGGGGTACCAGGTAATAACATGGCTATATACAGGAAGTACCAGTACTGAGTGGATGTGCAGGGGTACCAGGTAATAACTTGGCGTTATACACAGGGTACCAGTACCGAGTGGATGTGCAGGGGTACCAGGTAATAACTTGGCGTTATACACAGGGTACCAGTACTGAGTGGATGTGCAGGGGGTACCAGGTAATAACTTGGCGTTATACACAGGGGTACCAGTACTGAGTGGATGTGCAGGGGTACCAGGTAATAACTTGGCGTTATACACAGGGTACCAGTACTGAGTGGATGTGCAGGGGTACCAGGTAATAACTTGGCGTTATACACAGGGTACCAGTACCGAGTGGATGTGCAGGGGTACCAGGTAATAACTTGGCGTTATACACAGGGTACCAGTACTGAGTGGATGTGCAGGGGTACGAGGTAATTGAGGTAGATATGTACATATAGGTAGGGAGAAGGCAACAGAATAGATGATAAACACTAGCTGCAGTGTTGAGTAAAAAGAGTTAGTGCAAAAAGGGTCAATGCTATTTGGTTACCTGTACAGTGAGGGAAAAAAGTATTTGATCCCCTGCTGATTTTGTACGTTTGCCCACTGACAAAGACATGATCAGTCTATAATTTTAATGGTAGGTTTATTTGAACAGTGAGAGACAGAATAACAACAAAAAAATCCAGAAATACGCATGTCAGAAATGTTATAAATTGATTTGCATTTTAATGAGGGAAATAAGTATTTGACCCCTCTGCAAAACATGACTTAGTACTTGGTGGCAAAACCCTTGTTGGCAATCACAGAGGTCAGACGTTTCTTGTAGTTGGCCACCAGGTTTGCACACATCTCAAGAGGGATTTTGTTCCACTCTTCTTTGCAGATCTTCTCCAAGTCATTAAGGTTTCGAGGCTGACGTTTGGCAACTTCTATGGGATTAAGGTCTGGAGACTGGCTAGGCCACTCCAGGACCTTAATGTGCTTCTTCTTGAGACACTCCTTTGTTGCCTTGGCCGTGTGTTTTGGGTCACTGTCATGCTGGAATACCCATCCACGACCCATTTTCAATGCCCTGGCTGAGGGAAGGACGTTCTCACCCAAGATTTGACGGTACATAGCCCCGTCCATCGTTCCTTTGATGTGGTGAAGTTGTCCTGTCCCCTTAGCAGAAAAACACCCCCAAAGCATAATGTTTCCACCTCCATGTTTGACGGTGGGGATGGTGTTCTTGGGGTCATAGGCAGCATTCCTCCTCCTCCAAACACGGCGAGTTGAGTTGATGCCAAAGAGCTCGATTTTGGTCTCATCTGACCACAACACTTTCACACAGTTCTCCTCTGAATCATTCAGATGTTCATTGGCAAACTTCAGACGGGCCTGTATATGTGCTTTCTTGAGCAGGGGGACCTTGCGGGCGCTGCAGGATTTCAGTCCTTCAAGGCGTAGTGTGTTACCAATTGTTTTCTTGGTGACTATGGTCCCAGCTGCATTGAGATCATTGACAAGATCCTCCCATGTAGTTCTGGGCTGATTCCTCACCGTTCTCATGATCATTGCAATTCCATGAGGTGAGATCTTGCATGGAGCCCCAGGCCGAGGGACATTGACAGTTCTTTTGTGTTTCTTACATTTGCGAATAATCGCACCAACTGTTGTCACCTTCTCACCAAGCTGCTTGGCGATGGTCTTGTAGCCCATTCCAGCCTTGTGTAGGTCTACAATCTTGTCCCTGACATCCTTGGAGAGCTCTTTGGTCTTGGCCATGGTGGAGAGTTTGGAATCGGATTGATTGATTGCTTCTGTGGACAGGTGTCTTTTATACAGGTAACAAGCTGAGATTAGGAGCACTCCCTTTAAGAGTGTGCTCCTAATCTCAGCTCGTTACCTGTATAAAAGACACCTAGGAGTCAGACATCTTTCTGATTGAGAGGGGGTCAAATACACACTGCACCTACAGTTGAAGTCGGAAGTTTACATACACCTTAGCCAAATACATTTAATCTCAGTTTTTCACAATTCCTGACATTTAATACTAGTAAAAATTCCTTGTCATAGGTCAGTTAGGATCACCACTTTATTTTAAGAATGGGAAATGTCAGAATAATAGTAGAGTGATTTTATTTCAGCTTTTATTTCTTTCATCACATTCCCAGTGGGTCAGAAGTTTACATACACTCAATTAGTGTCAGTGTAGCTGTAGGTGGGTGTGGTGGTGGAATCAGGCACTGCATCGCAGTGCTAACTGTGCCACTAGATCCTGGTTCGAATCCAGGCTCTGTCGCAGCCGGCCGCGACCGGGAGACTCATGGGCGGCGCACAATTGGCCCAGCGTCGTCCAGGGTAGGGGAGGGAATGGCCGGCAGGGATGTAGCTCAGTTGATAGAGCATGGCGTTTGCAACGCCAGGGTTGTGGGTTCGATTCCCACGGGGGGCCAGTATAAAAAAATATGTATTCACTAACTGTAAGTCGCTCTGGATAAGAGCGTCTGCTAAATGACTAAAATGTAAATGTTAGTCCAAAAGACTTTAGTAGATGCACAAAACACAAGCACGAATAAATGCCCAGAGGCGAGAACTCCGCACGCAGGCGAAAACAAACGGGCGCACGAAACAGGTGCGACAAAACACTCCAAACACTATGGAGAATAGCTCAACCGAGCAAACAGTAGAAGTAACCGCACGACAGTAAAACAATCACACACAACACTTGACAAACACAACGAGAACTTATAGGACACTAATTACACTAAACGATAACAGGTGTAACAACAATCAGACAAAAGCAAACGAACATAGAAACATGCAACGGTGGCAGCTAGTATTCCGGAGACGACGAACGCCGAAGCCTGCCCGAGCAAGGAAGAGAGGCAGCCTCGGCCGAAACCGTGACAATTAGTATGGTAGCATTGCCTTTAAATTGTTTAACTTGGGTCAAACGTTTCGGGTAGCCTTCCACAAGCTTCCCACAATAAGTTGGGTGAATTTTGGCCCATTCCTCCTGACAGAGCTGGTGTAACTGAGTCAGGTTTGTAGGCCTCCTTGCTCGCACACGCATTTTCAGTTCTGCCCACACATTTTCTATAGGATTGAGGTCAGGGCTTTGTGATGGCCACTCCAATACCTTGACTTTGTTGTCCTTAAGACATTTTGCCACAACTTCGGAAGTATGCTTGGGGTCATTGTCCATTTGGAAGACCCATTTGCGACCAAGCTTTAACTTCCTGACTGATGTCTTGAGATGTTGCTTCAATATATCCACATAATTTTCCTTCCTCACGATGCCATCTATTTTGTGGAGGTCTACAATTATTTTTCTGAGGTCTTGGCTGATTTCTTTTGATTTTCCCATGATGTCAAACAAAGAGGCACTGAGTTTGAAGGTAGGCCTTGAAATGCATCCACAGGTACACCTCCAATTTTTACATTTTTTACATTTTTAGTCATTTAGCAGACGCTCTTATCCAGAGCGACTTACAGGAGCAATTAGGGTTCAGTGCCTTGCTCAAGGGCACCAATTGACTCAAAT